GTAGTTTTTACACTTAAATCAGCTTAAGTATTAAAGTCAGTCCACAGGTGCTGCTTTTGGAAGAGCTGGAAATGCATCAGGATGTGCGAGACCACCCCCACCCCCAAGGGATCTACTGACTCACAGGAAACCAGACAGAGATAGGAGGCCTGTCCATAATACTACTTGGGGGGCGGGGGGGGGGGGTAGTTTGTTAAGCCTGGAAGGGTGGACGGTCGCCTGGTACTGGGAAGAATAAACCCATATTGGAGGGGGGAGGGGGGGAGAGAGTTGAATAGTGACGACGACACTGTGCTTGAAAGACGAGCTTCTGTGATGCTGGTAACAGGCATAGGAGCAGGGGGATCTGCGCTGGTGGCCTCTGTCAGCCTCCTCTCGCTGTGCCCACTCCCCTCCTGGGGGTCCTGCCCTCACCGCTCCCGCAGCAGGTAGAAGACGACAGCTTTCAGGAAATGGCAACAGGTGCAGGCGGCAGACACCAGCCAATGGGAGCGGAAGCTGGGGTCAGAGTTCACCACGCATTTTGTGATGTCCGTCTGGGGGAGGGACAAAAGAGCAGACTCATTTGGTGCAACTCCTGGACCTCTGCAGGCTGCCAAACACAAGGCACTGTGATGTCTCTGCCCCCGGTTCCCTAAATGGCCCCTCCTGCCACCACTTTCTTTGGCTCCCATTCTTACTGGCACCATTAGACTTTCATGAGAAGGGGAAGTGGACTTGCTGATGGCATGCAAGCATGTGGCTTCGCCAGTGCAACCAACAGCTCCGTTATCTTCAGGGTACATATCGACACCTTCAGCCAGCCTCTGCTGAAGATGGGGCCCTGAGACTTGCCCCGACAAGCCCTGCCGCCCTGAGAATGGGTACAAACTTGCTGGCACTTCAGAAGAAAATGAACCATGAAAAAGCTGAAGCATCAAACAGGTTGATGTGTGTGTCGCGAGCTGCTGACAGCTCACACATGGTTATGCAACAGGAACTCTACCAGAGTAGATGACCTTTGCCGTGAAAATATAGTTATTTCAACACCATTTAATAATGGACACAAGGGCATCACAGAGGTGTCTAGGAATGGTTGATCATCCATCTCAATCACGCGGCCCGGTTGCAGGACACAAACAGGCTATACCACCACCATCTCTAAAATCTCTTTGTTAGTCGGTGGCCTTAGTCCCCCGAATACAGTGTTCTGGCAGGCCCCAGTTCCTCTGACCCTCAGGCTATGAGTGGACGTATGAGGAACAACATTACCCCATGACCATCTCCACCAAAAGTGCCGTAGATAAGGCAGGGAGACATGGAAGCCACAGGGTGTTTGCGACTAGCGCACGCCAAACCAAAACATGCAACCTACAGTCATAAATCAACCTACAACAAGCTAAGCCACAGTTACAAGGAAAGGCGAGTTCAGTTCATCTGCCGGTACAGCGCCTCTGACTTGTAAATGCATGAGCCTACCATTTCTGCAGAACTGTAAATCATGACAAAGCGTCATGATAACCCAAATCCAGGATTTCAGCAAGCACTACCAGAACAGGCTCAGGATTCATACATTTTTCCTAAGAAGGCCCGCTCTGGATTTGTAAATATTTCTTCAGAAATCATGCTCAGGATCCATATGCACTTCCAGCCTAAGCCTGCTCAGGATTTGTATGCACTTCCTGTACACCTGCCCAGGACTTGTACATAGTTCCTGTAGGCCTGTTTGGGATTCATTGGCACTTCCTGTAGGCCTACTCAGAACTTGTATGCACTTCCTGCAGGCCAGCTCGGGATTCGTATGCACTTCCTGCAGACCTACTCAGAACTTGTATGCACTTCCTGTAGACCCACTCGGGACTTGTACGCACTTCCTGTGTGCCTTTTCGGGATTCATAGGCCTGCTTAGCTGTTGCCCCACACCCCATCAGCTCCAGCTCTGTCCCACAGGACCCAGTTACCGCAGGACAGTGGTGGGATTGACAACGACTTACCCAGCCTCCTTTCCTCTTCAGCCACAATGTCAGGCTTTTGCGGACAAACTCCCCCAGGCAGTCGACGATAGTGTGAACCATGGCAGGCTGCCCGTGTCTCACGCAGTCCACGGCCAGGGCTCCGGCCACGGCGTACAGTGACACCACCTTGCCCCACGTGATGCCTGCAAGAGTCGGGTACGATCACGTAATGGTGCCGTTTGCGTCACACCACCCCCCATCTGCTGCTCACGCAGACAGCAGAAGATGTGGAGGCGTCCATACCAATGAAGCAGCCTCCTTACACATTGCGACTGCATGCTCATTCGGATGAGCTGCTGGAGTCACAGGCCTCCTGCTGTTCATAAAACGCAGCTTGCAATTGCCTGTATGCATTTAAAACCGAGAGATCCACCCAGGCTTAGCCTTCGCGTCCAGGTCACATTCGAGCTAACGTGACGGAATTACAGAGCCGTGTCAGGACACCAGCCGAGAGCCTCGGGAAGTGAGAGGCTGTATCTCACGTAAACAGGACGTGCTTCTCAAGCTTACGCATAGCATAAGGGTCCAACCCATGATAAAAGGATTTGTTCTCCTACCATTAAATGATGGCAGTCCAATCTGATTTCACAAGGCCAGTACCGGCCAAAACCCACGTGGTGACCTAGGCAAACTTCACCCATGGAGCCCCCAGTCCAATACACAGTGAAACTGGCGGCAAAGTGAGGTCAGCACCCCACCCCCCCTTGTCACATAATGGTTTTATTGGCCCTACACAAGGTTACAAATTGTGCCTCTTCACCACTTCTAGTACAAAGCAGAATCTTAGCTGAGGTTTTCCTGAAACAGCCAAAGAACTTCGAGCCAGGTCACCCAGCTTAACTGGTCAGTGGCTGCTGGATTTAGAATACCTTAAGAGTTCACAAATGCTCCACCAGTAAACCAATTAAGAGCAAAGTTGTGCCTGGGCATCTACATCGTTAGAGGGAATGTCTCGAGTTTCCCCAGAGTCGGGCAACCAAATACAGGCATTTCTCAGTAACCTCACTCAATAGTTTGGAGGGAGAGTGGTTTGGGGGGGGAGGGGAGAGACGACGACACGTAATACGTCAGGCAGGCAAGACTCTCTGACATGCCAGGGTAAAATCTATCCATATTTGGGTAAAGAAAGCCTACCCTACCTTACATCAACTTTGAATGCTTGCTTGACTTTTTTTGTAAAATATACAGCAAGCTGTCTAGACACAAGGAAAGACCTTTCATTTTTTGTTAAACATTCACCGGAACAAATGGGCCTCTTATTTGAAGCTCTCTTTCGCTCTGAATTGCAGGTTTTCCGTCTGTCTTCGACAGAAAAATTTCGCGACCCTACAGCTGAAAGCCATACTGCTAAATATAGGGGCCAATTTAGCGAGACGACAATCAAATTCCTCAAAGACTAACAAGACTCAGACTTACTGGCTAGAACCAACATTATCCTAAGCACTATTGTGTTTTTGCTCAAGTCAGCTTAGGCATTAGGCTGAATGCTAATGTTCATTAAATTTTCAATGTGGTTTAATTGTACAATGGCTAATTGTACATTTTATAAATTGCACATTTCAAGTGAAAGATGTTTTGGTGATGGGCTGATAAAGCTGTAATTAAAATAGACTAAAACAATATGAATTTTTCTAAAAAATAATAGCAAAAATGAATACAATCGATTTCCTTATATTTCTTGAAAAAAATGAATAACTGAAAACACATGTTTTTCTAAGAGCCAATCGAACCTAATTAATTATAAAGTTGGGGAACATTAGATATTCTTTGGCTCCTTGACAGACAAGGACCAGGCAAAACAACTGCAGAGGCATAAACCTCATTTCCTGGCTCCTTTAAGCAGGCACTATCGCCATCTGCCTGGGGAGATCTCCCGTGGCCGTGCGAGAGGGCAGCCGTGCGAGAGGGCAGCCGTGCGAGAGGGCAGCCGTGGGAGAGGGCAGCCCTGCGACGGAGCTGGGACCTCCTCCCACAGCCGCCCGCCATTGCAGGAAGTGATGTCGCTGACCTTTGACCTGCCTCTTTGGAAGCCAGGGTACACATACAGTTAGGGCCTGGGCCTCAATCTAAAGCCTTATAAAGCAGCCAGGCACAATACTGTAGGAACAACTGAGACAGGAAGACAGGAAAACTGTTTCTGCGTTTTTAGACTGTGTTTTTACGCAGGATAACATTATGATATTGCATACAGCCCATGTAATATAGCCGTTATGCTGTCCTCGGAGATCCACTTCAGGAGATTCTGGGAAGTCGCTGAAGTTGTGCAGTTTCTAAGGGGGCTTTCTCACTAGGGGAGGTTCTAATGTAAGGGAAGATCGAGGGCTGAGCCCAGAACCCTGTCAATGAGTCAGAGTTCAAGATTTAAAAGAATAAAATTCTGTCCATCTGTTCCGTTCCAAACGCATTAGTTCTGTACCTGTCGCGGCTCTGAATTCGGCGTCACCCGACCCTGGTGCTGCCACTGTTCCTCATACTCTATGTAAAATGTGACTTCCCAACAGTGCCTGCCAGATGGGTGGTGGACCGCATGACTGACTGTCAATCCACAACCGCAGCAATGCGGTAAGAGGGACCAGGAACAAAGCAGCAATAAGAGGGACCAGGAACAAAGCAGCAATAAGAGGGACCAGGAACAAAGCAGCAATAAGAGGGACCAGG